GCGTATTAATTGATGCAGAGCTTGTCCGACGAATCTCTCACCACATCTGGTCATGGAAGGAGAAAACGCTTGTCAATTCGGTTTTGTGGTGTTAACCATTCAGAGAAGAACGTCTTTTACTAGAATTTACGCAATCTATCTCTTGTCTGAAAAGGACTTTTACTTATCTTGTTCTATGGAAGGCTCAGCTATGATAACGCTTTATCTGTGAAGACTGCGGTCGAATTTTTACCAAGTTTGTGTGGAACGCTCCGAATATTAGAGTTTATTTAAATACGAAGACTTCATACGCTATATATCATTATTACTCGTCGAGCAGCATTGCGAACGTCGCGTAGCATCACCTTGGTCTTCCAGTACCACCGTCAGCAGCATCAGTAATAAGGTGGTCTGGATTTGCCGCGGGATCAGGAGATTTAACATTAGTTTTTCCATTCGGGTCTTTCAAAATCATCATAGCAGTTCCAGTGCCTAGGTCTTATTTGCAGGGAGGATCGCCTATTGTAACAGTTTTATGGAGCGAAATGTTACCGCAATGAGGTTTTTTAAATTCTTTTTCACTCTGCACACAAGTTATGCAGACGGCAGTCATTGCGAATGCACTCGTTTCGGAACCGGCCTCAGTAGACCATTGTAGTCTGAATAGATGAAAGCGCGGAGTCATGGAGCGAAAGGTTTGTAGCGTGTAATACTAATGCTTTCTACCTGGCTCCTATTATCATGTCTTTAATACGGGAAAAGTCAAGCTTGCCAATGTAATGAAAAGCGAATAAATATCAGAAACATGCGGTTACCGTTTGTGGTGGGCCGGCATTCGTCCCAGGAACTACGCCGATAGATGCCGACTCACTAGGGGCAATGCCACATACAGTTGACGCTGAGTCGCATATGCATCTACCTGAACACGATGTACCTGGTGTAAACCTGAGGAGATAAGACTGGTGGGTGAACAGAAGCGGTCAACTCTTAATCTGTCAGCATGCCCGACTGGTGACACAGTTATAGATTCAGGTGGGCATAACTGAATAGTCGGGGTATATAAAGGGGTATCTAGTGGCCCGCACCACTCAGGACACGCGCCCCTAAGCACATAGCAATGGCTAGCTAGAACGTGAAGAAAGTGGATTTCAGATAGGATTCGTTCACCTTAGCAATCAAATCGTGGGAAATCGCTGACATCCCAGCTAGATCAGGGCTGTTGACACAGAAAGACAGTTGGTGCTCACAGAGTATCCAGGGCTGTGTCTTGTAGCCGGCATCATACATAGGATATACCATGGGTAGATAAAGGTAGAGATTATTCAGCTTGGTCTATACAACGATGTTCACTTCTAGCACCGTTGTGGGCTTTAACTCTTTACTATCTGATAAATTAAAACAGGGCTCTAATGACACACATGGGAATAGTCTAACAGTTGAACCCAACTATATTCCGTTCGGATAGACTGAAAGCTGAACTACCAATAAACCGGACCCAGAATGCATCCGCATAGCGTTGTGTAGTTAGCCATGATTCTGCTTGATTCCGTTCACATGACGATGATCACTCTCGGAACCATCACGGGCTTAGTTCTCCGAATCGCACCTTATGCATAGGTCTTTTTGTGGGTCTTGGTCTGTATAGAGAAGAACACGGAACACTACTTCAAGAACTGACGCAGGATCTGCCCTGGTGATTTCAGGGCTCCAAGGTGGATCTTGTAAACTTACTTTATCCGTCAACATTTCAACGACAGATCACCGTGTCCGCTGGTGGTCCGTGAACCCAACGCAACCAGCATAAACACGACTGCAGTTGCAGAGTACCCAGTTTTTTCAGTCTCCAGGTCCAACGGATTCGACAATACTCTTGGGCCTTGGACGCTTCAACTCTCTGGCTCAAAGCTGTTGATTCCTGATTTGTCAAACTCCACTCCGTATCGGTTATTCTCATGTCATTTTCCAATTCACGAAATCCAAGTCTACCACTTTCGGACTTTCGACCAACGTAGCCATGTATCAAAGGTTTTCTCTGCCAGATGCTGTTCCTTCTTATTCAACAGGTCAGTTAGAAGCCCTTCTGCGAAAACGGGTTTTAAAGTATGGCTAGTCCGCAGGAAAAACATGCCATGATCTACTGGGCCATGGTTTAGTCGCATTAGGGGGCGAAATTTGCTGTTGTTCTTCGATTAAGCATCTAGGGCTATGTATTGGTCTCCGGGATGCGTTGGTCTCCGGGATAGTGAATCCCATGCAAGAATAATGAGCGTGACGTCAGTGGAGGACAAAGAGATGGGTATGGTCCAATCGAAACTGCGACTTCACGTTTCATGTAGAGGAATTAGGGAGCTCTTTGAGAAGCCTGTGAAAAGCAGTCAACGCAACCTTCCCACTATTCAAAGAACTCTCACTGCAGGTATTCCCCTCTTGAATCGTATGATCTGACTGACTAAGACACCATGCGAACCCTTATTTCCCACCCCTCCTGTGGTTAATCATGTTCCTGCAAGAATAATGAGTGTGACGTCAGTGGAGGACAAAGAGATGGGTATGGTCCAATCGAAACTGCGACTTCACGTTTCATGTAGAGGAATTAGGGAGCTCTTTGAGAAGCCTGTGAAAAGCAGTCAACGCAACCTCCCCACTATTCAAAGAACTCTTACTGCAGGTATTCCCCTCTTGAATCGTATGATCTGACTGACTAAGACACCATGCGAACCCTTATTTCCCACCCCTCCTGTGGTTAATCATGTTCCTACCCAGTCCTAGACGAAAATCCAGCGAAAATAGCCAAAATAACTTCATGAAGATTCGCGGAGAGCATGAATGAAGATGTCATCGTAAAGCACACTTCCTGCTTAGTTCAGGATCACCTACAGCCAGAAGCAAACGTGGGGCGCTCGAAATCAAAGGCTTAAAAAGAACAGTCGGGAAAGCTTGTGGTGTTCTTCAGAATGTGCTGATCGCAGTCACAAAATCACCAGAACGATTCAAGAGAAAACGCTTCCTAATTGTAAATTCAAGTCTCCCTAGTTTGGCGGTTAGCAGACAGTCCATGAGGATCACGAAAAGTTAATTCCTACTCAGTGGCCAAAATTCCTGCACAAGCTCCCCACATAGGTGAGACAGGTAGATAGCCTCAAGTAGCAAAACATCCCTCAAGATGAGCATATCGCTCTTCGCTACCCGCACAGGTGCATCAACCTGTGCATCAGCCTGTTGGGGCGGACAAGTGACTCGTCCTCTTATCGAGCGCAATACATTCGTCCTGCTGGCTCTGCAAGCCGTGAAGTCACGTGCCTCATGTCCTGGCCTTGGTGAACCAATCAAAGTGCAGGAGCAATGTGAGGGGGTGAGGACAAGCACGTGTGTTTGCATCCAACGTGAGAGAACAGAGCTTCTATGTCGTAAGCCAATAAGAATCGACCAATGAGAAGACAACCTGTCTGCCATTTATCAAGGCCATTGGACCAGTCAGACCATTTCGTCTCCACCTCACGATGGCCTCCGGTTTACGGGCCGAAAAGTCCGGTTTCGCTCGGGAAGTTCAGGAGAAACTAAAGGGAAAGTTCGATAATGTTCTCGCAGCACGTACACTGAAGTGGATCCGCTTGCTTCCCGCACCTGCTGGAATACCGAACCACTTCACTGATGCAGTCCAGAAAATTCCGGCGGATATTGAGACAGTAGGCATGGAGGACTATGCCAAGTATCTGAATGATGGTCTCGTTCTGGGCTATTTAATGGCTTGTTTGAACCCAAAGGTGACTTCGCAACTGGGCTCAGTAAAAACGTGGCAACTCGCAGACAACCCCGTTTTCGAGACCTCCCGCCGACGAGACCGGATCGGCCAGTTCCTCCGATTCCTTTCGGAATACGGGGTGGATGCTTCAAACCAGTTTCAAACGGATCAGCTCTATGAAAGCACAAACTTGGTTCAGGTGGCTATATGTCTAAGTCAGTTGGGCGTGGAAGCTCAGACCAAACCGGATTTCACTGGTCCTCGTGATTTTTGGATGCAAAAACATCAAGAACATCGTCGGGAGTTCACGGAAGAACAGCTGCGCGCTGGTTCGACGGTAATTGGCTTGCAGATGGGTACAACCGCTGGTGCGAACGCTTCTGGTGTGAGTTTTGGTAGCAGGCGACATATCACTGATATGTTCTGATTAGCTATACTATTGTGGTCATGTTCGAAAAAATTCTCACCTATTCATGGTAACTTGTGCCTTCCAAACCTGTTCGCCAACTATGAGAATACAGTTCAACCACGATTTGTTGTGACGTGATGCATCTTTCTTTACGACAATTATTTTTCAGATTTTCCCGCCTAATAAAACACTCATGTTAATAGCAATTTTCCCTATAGTGGTTTTCACCCGGTTTCTGTAGTAAGCAGGTCATTTTCTATGAGCCTATTCGCCGTAGAGAAGGCTATGTATATTACATGGAGCACTTTTGCTCACAACGCTCTAACTAGTCTCTGTTCCTCGGGTTACTGGGGTTTCCGGTGGTATTCAGTGTTTTGACTAGCTCCATGACTTAGTCCCTTAAAACGGCGGGGCAACAACACGAAACCGCCGCAGCATTGACCGGAACTGGGCCATGTCGTGCAATCAGTTTTACTGCTCGTAGCTGTCTGTTCGTAGTCGTTAATGGCAGTTGATTTCCGCTGAGTATCAGAATTCGGGAATTAAGGAATACATTCCCGAACTCTTGAAAACCATGTACAGCGACAAACTAGCGGGTCAACAGATTTGAATTGGATGGCTGCAACAGGAAAGAATCGGGTGAGGGTCTTTCTAGTAAGACCATTGACGGGTTGAAAACACTTCTGTTTGAAACCAGAAATTCATTGACCCCCAATGCTACCTGTAGGGTTCTTCATCCTGTTTCCTTCCGCGAGAACGTTTACATCGTCATAGATGTTTGGACTCATTGGCAGCTTTGTAGCTTTATATTACTATCGGAAGGCCTATGTGATAAATACTGGCTAGAAAATAGACAAGTTGGGTCCGACCATTGTGTGGGTCGGTTTTTTGTTGTTGTCTTGTGACTACCGTTGATAGGTTACCGTGCGTGCAGACGAGGTCCCGAAGCTCTCTCAATTCCAACCACAACTGGAGATCACTATTGGCACTGCAATGCAGATGGCGTTGTCGTTTTGTGTGCAGGTGGACGAATTTAGGTCGGCACGAACTGAACGAAGTTCATAATACGTAACAGATGTATTGCATGTCTTTGAACCCTTCCTTTTGTGTTCATCAGTTCAGTACTTTGGGTCAGGACATCGGAGAAAAATATCCCACCGAGGCCTTACTCATTTGGCTTTCGAACTGCAGCACAATCCCCTGTCTTAAAAGGCAATCAATACATAACAAACTGTAATAGAATATTAAAGTAGGATTCTACAGGTTAGCCTCGTGGTACTGCTTCTGGCCTGAAGGCTTTGGGAGTTATAAGTCTGTCTTAAAAAGCAATCAACACATAACAAACTGTAATCGAATATTAAGGTAGGATTCTACAGGTTAGCATCGTGGTACTGTTTCTGGCCTGAAGGCTTTGGGAGTTATAAGGATTTCGCCATTCGTTTATTGAGTTGGGAGAGTAGTATACCGGTTGACCATTCTCGCCTTACATGCATCTGTGATTAAAACAAACCGTTCAGCTGTACACTCTCAGTGCCTAACTGCCATGCCACCCAAAAGAAGCACGAAGGCTGGGATACTGCCGGGTTTCTAAAGCCTAGACAGAGGAAGTCGAGGTACAGTGGTCCGGTTCGAACCACAGACCTTCCGGTGAGTAAATTCGCGCTCTAACCGCAAAGCCATCTCGCATTTATGGTACCTTTGAATTCGGGTCATTTGCGACACCACGTTTTCCGACACTTCAACCGAGTTTCTGAGTTTGTAAATACAACCGCGTACAGGAGAAATGGGTTTCCGGGATTCATGGCTTACCACGGAGGCATGCAGACTACTGGTCCTGCTTACGCATTCGCAGAGTATGAACTCTTATCCTTCCTGCGTAAAGAGAAAGTGATCATGGTTACTGCCGTTTACCACCACGGAGAATATTCCGAAGGATGACCTTAGTCCGCGGGAAACACATTCAGGACGATGACTTCTGAAATCGTGGTCGTCATTCTCACTTTTTAGCAAAGTTAAGAAGTACCATAGTTTTCTGCCAAAATACCTACATGTACTACTTTGGTGCATTTGGACTTTATATGAACTAACTGATGGGTTTTTCGGGGTGAATTTCGGATAGCCTACGGTCGCCTTGTCTTTATGGAGACTCGGTGGATCTAAGGTAACTCAGATTAGCGAAGATTGGCGTTCTAAACCACATTTAAGTATAAACTAGCCTTCGGTATTCTACTGTTGACACTACCAAACAGTAGAGTTCGTTTTTTTATCACAAAAGCCTCCGGACGGGATGCGTCATCATGCAGACTGCACTTTTTTTTCGTAGGAAATCGTACACGCCCGTTCCACTGGTTAGGATTAATCGTTTTCTGCACCTTCGTGACCCGACAAACCGAGCTTCCATATGGTCAGTATACTCTTATCTCAATATGTTGGTAAAATCTGTAAAGCAAATGAAGACGTTCTGATTCGTGAATGACAATATCACGTGTTCAAATTACCCTGGTTCTTGACAGTGGGCATCCTATGAAAAGGAACCAACTACATACCTTGTGTGTGCTAATACTCCCCCGCGCGACTACCACAACGAACCACTGTTAAATTTTCAAACACCACAAGATCAATGAACTCTTGTAATACGGGACACGAATAACGTTGATTAAGGACGTGGTCGGCCGTGCTCTGCATATCTATTGACTGAAGTGTGGATCAAATCATTTAGTCACGTTACAATTTTCATCACGCGGGTGTAAAGCAAACAGATTTGAATGCAATTGATTGTTATGATAGACAGATACGGACGCAACCTGAAAGTTCTTTTCATAAGTGTCACCATTCATTCAACTGCCGACCAGTATAGTGGTTTTCACCCAGGACAATTCGTTTTCCAGATGATTCTGAGCCAGTTTCCTGGCGATCATGTTACACAAAAAGGTAGACTAGTGCAATGAGAACTGTTGATCAGAAAACCTCTATAGGAAACGGCAAATCACACGCAAAAGGTGAAAATAAGTTGAGGCTTGAGAAGGCACCCGTTAACTGCTTTTAAGAGCTGGAGTTTGTAAGGGCTCAGGATGACGGGTATCGCTGAGAGGTCCAAAGATGAACTTCCTTGTAACGAAGGGAGCACAGAGCCGAGTTCTGTAGCCAAGGTGCCAGAATTCCGTCGGGTTAGGTGAGCTTAGAAAGATAGGTTTCATGGTTAAAAGTTTGAACCACTCTAAAAGTGACTACAATGTCCCAAACACCAAATTAAGGGTTTATAGAGAGGTTGAGCAGAACTAAATTGTACTTGCGCACTTGCTATGTAAACTAGTTCCAAGGAGGTCAACTTTAGCGGACCGGAAAAATGATGATGACTCATTATCCAAGAAAGATTAATAGAATAATGGGAAACGGCAGAAGATTCCGTTGGAGGGAGAAGCGGGAGGATTGCAGTTGTCTGTGTTCATCAGGAGTTTCCATAAGGCGAGTGTTCAGCATCGCGATAACTGATGCAGTCATTACACAAACTTCGTGGGTGTTGGGTTCAGTGGTAAGAACAGGAAAAAGCGCCCTCTCAAAAGTTCCCATTGGGTTACGATGGAAGCGTACAAGGCGAATTAGGGGTAACATAAATAGTCCATAATAGACCATTCTTTTCTTTCATACTATATCATGATGCAAATGTCAAAGCGAGTGTCAGTTCACTTCCTAGATCGGCCAATGAGGAGCTAAAATCTTAAGGAAGGAAAGGGCGCACCGAGGCTGATATGTCTGTAGTGACAAGTTCTTCCAGCGGCCTTGTCTGTTGAAGTGGTGGCCTATGTTGACTGTAATGTCACTTGCTGCAGAGACGACGGTCCGGCTGACTCCGGATTTGCTAATTGGAGCCTGGTAGGAGTTGTCGATACTGTCCAGAGAATTCATCACTGGTACTTTGTTTTTCTGTGCGGGCTAGGTATCCAGTGCCCACCACCAGCTGAGGACAGGTTGAGTATTCTTTGTTTGCCTTCGAACTGTGGTCGTTGGTGACATTTCCCTGCGGTGTAGGTAGACCAGAGCTTTTTGGAACCTGTCGTGTGCTGACAGTTGAGTGTTCTTTGTTTGCCTTCCCTGTGGTGTAAGTAGACTAGAGCTTTTTGGAACCTGTCGTGTGCTGACCAATTGTCATTTCATCCGCTCCCTTGTTCTGCTTTCTAAAGGCTGTTGTTAGTAGTGTCATGATTTCGCTCAGGAAGAAATAGTTGTATGACTAAAAGACCACGGGACACGACAAACTGTCGCTGACCAGCACATGACATCATATCCTCTTCATCCATTCTAATCACATAAAACGGGGGGCATAAATCAGGAGATGCAGCTTCGCAGTCGCAACACATGCATATCTTTGCAAAGAGTTTTTATAACTTTGTTCAATGAAAGTTTTCGCCTCTAGAGATCCAAAACCCCATGTCCCTTACATCGGTGGTGGACGAGCTGTCCACAAGAATGAGCTGCCAGAGTGGGATGGGGCTATGGGTGTTTTAATGACTGTACAACACAGAGAGTTAACTTGTTCGATCCGTAGGTATGAATATTGCTTAGCACATGTGCAAGGTCCACACGTCTTGGTAAAAATGAACTAATAAAAGGAGTCGAGTTTACTCACACTTGAGAGTTGTTAGTAAAAACTGATAACCTCTTGTGAGTGAACAACGTAAATCACGAAGGAAGGGCTGCTGGGTCGATGTTGTAACAATAACTTTAGCGTATCTACATTATCTTAAGCGAACTGAATGATAGCGCTGTTTGTCGAACAACTGGATTCAATGCGGACTGCACTCAGAATATATCTGGGGGGCTTGAAACGTTTAATTAAGTTACTTTTCTTCCGAAGAGCGAAATATCTTCCATTTTGATGAGGTCCTCGCCTCAGGGTCATGGACCCTGAATTGGAGCTGCCATTGTAGTTTGTTGTCTTCTGTATCACGAAGCGGCTCACTCGCGTAACTATTCATCATATCAGCTGGGCAGATTCTTTTTACCGGTTCTGTGGCAAA